TCTGATAAACATCCTTAGTGTAGATATGCTGATGATCAACCGGTTCCAGGGTTCTGTCTCTTTTTAACCTATGGATTATTATTTTTTGCAGTACCGAGGATGGAAGCCAGGACCTTTGCACTGAGCTATTCTTCCCATCTTTTGGGACATATCACTTGTTGTCCAGGCTCCAGGTTGCAATGCTCCTGTCCGAGCTGCACAGCTTGGTGAGGTCCCAGGCATGTGCCACCATGCCTGGCTTTCTATCTGATTAACTCTTTGATATCACATTTGACAACACCTCTCTTCTTCATTGTCAGCACCAAATGGGATCAAAGCGCCCCCTTTCTTTCTCCCTCTGTCATCCCTCCCTCTTTCCTTTTCCTCCCTTACCTTCTGTCCGCCAGAAGGCAGCAGGTTATGCTTATGTGGGCCAGACCTGGCTTTGAATCCTGCCTCTCCCATTCACTCTACGACCTTGGGTAACTCATTTGCCCTGTGACCATTTTTCTTAACTGACAAAGAGGAGTAACATCACCTTTCCCTTACATTTGTGGTGAGGATTGTCTGTGATAACCATAAAATACAGTTATAAATTTTCTGGATAAAATACAGAACACAGCAGAAGTGGGTAGAAAAGATGAAATACAGCTGTGTCCAAGGGGGACCAAAGACATGTAGGAGTGGTTGGTAGTGACAGCTTTGATTCGTGGCTGATTCTTTTTTTTTTTTTAAATATTTATTTATTTATTTATTTATTTATTTATTTATTTATTTATTTATTTTGTGTGTGTGTGGCCAGCTCAGCCCACCAGGGGGCGGGGCTGGCTGGCATGTGGTGCTAGGGGATTGAACCGCGGTCCCTGTGCTTTGCTAAGCTTGTTCTAAGTAGGTGCTCCAGACCACTGAGCCATCTCACCAGCCCCGTGAGTGATTCTTAAAGGCTAGACAGAGAAACACACAAATGTACAGGGCCGGGGGCAGAAAGATGGTGCAACAAATGTAGTGCATTTGTTTTTTTGTTTTTTGTTTTTAAATTTTATTTATTTATGTGTGTATGTGTGTGTGTGTGGCCAGCTCAGCCCACCAGGGGGCGGGGCTGGCTGGCATGTGGTGCTGGGGGATTGAACCGTGGTCCCTGTGCTTTGCTAAGCTTGTTCTAAGTAGGTGCTTTAGACCACTGAGCCATCTCACCAGCCCTGCATTTGTTTATTCATTCTCTTTCAGTATTTCCCGAGCACCTGCTATAGGCTAGCTGTGCATCTCCTCACTGGCATCATAGTTCTCATAGGCAGCTATTCCAGAGTGGGAGAGTCCCAGTCAAACAGCCCTTTCCATACAAAACCTTCTCTGCCTTTAAAGTTGGGTTCTGAAAGGATCATTGGTAGTTTGCAAATCTAAGTGACCAAGAGGGTTGCAGCCCCTGGATGTAGGCCCACCAGTCTGCAGTGTGCGGGTGCTCTACAGAGCTTTAGAACCGAACACAAGCCATTTCTTTCTTGATGCTGTTTGTTTCATCTTACAGGCTTTCTCCAAAGTTGATGGTGTTGTGTGTAATGGAAATGTGTTGAGCACCAAGTGACATAAGCTTGTCCAGTGTCATGGCTGGATGTCCCCCCAAAGCCTCCTGTGGTCAGATGGTGCAGGCTTTTCATAGGTGGCTGAACTTAGAGCTTGTGATTGGTTCATTATCTAGCACTGGGGGATTGAGGGTAGGAGTGCTTCATGGGCCCTAAGGCAGTAGCCTGAGTACAAAATGAGGGAGGAAAATAGGCTTGCTTCTCCCTTTTTGCTCTTGCAGCTTTTGCTATCTTTTGCCACCATGAGCTGCTGTCCTCTGCCCTGTGCCACCCTGCCTTGGAGCCAGCTGATTATGGACTGAAACCTCCCCCATCTGTGAGCTAGATAAACCTTTCCTCTTTAAAACCTTAGGTTGGGGGTCGGGGAGTTAGCTCAGTAGAATAAGTGCTTGCCTGGCAAGCGCAAGGGCCTGTGTTCAATCCCTGGTTCTGCAAAAAACAAACAAACAAACAAACAAACACCAAAACCAAAACAAAACACCTTAGGTGTTGGTGTCGGGTATTTGTCCCAACAATGAGAGAAAAGTAACTAAGACATGCAGGAAGGGACAAAAGATGGGTAAAATATAAAACTTGATGTTAAAAGTAATCACCTTAAAGTGGTGAGATGAAAGGCAACTGAATTCCTCCCTTCCTTTCCCTCTCTTCCTCCCTCCCTCCTTTTCTCTCTCTCCTTCCTTCCCTCTCCCTCTCCCACCCTCCTTCTCTTTGTCACCAAGGAAGGAAGGGCCATAGGGAAGTATTGTGCAGGAGGAGACAGGAGGGAGGACTCAGCGTGCAGAAGCTGGGCACAGCTACAGCTGAAGAGTGGGAGGGTGGGTTTAGCTTCTGTGGGGGTCTTAGTACTCTACAGCCACAACCAGGGCAAACTGCCCCAAACTCAGTGGCATGCAGGGTGATCCAGTAACTTTGTCTGGGTGGCTGCTCTGGTTTCAGCTGAGGTCCTCCACACGTTTGGGTCCGTCAGTTGTTGGTGGGGAAAGTGTGGTGCTGCCCCTGTGTCCCTGACGCCACAGGCCACCTGGCTGCCCTCCTGGGAGAAGCAGAAGCTTGAGAAAGCAGGAGGAAATGTGAATGCCTCCACGAGCTGGGGCTGGGGCCCTGCATGCCACCACTTCTGCCTAATGGGGAGAAAGGCCATGAGTTCAGTTCAGCTTCCGAGGGAGCTAGATTCTGTCTCTTCGGGGTACAAGACTCTGAAGTCAGAGTGTCTATCCAGGGCAGGGGCTTCTCATCAGTCAACCTCAGGAGACTTTTGAAGAGAAAGCCTCAAATTATTATTATTATTATTATTATTATTAATGTGTTTGGCACAAGGGGGCTGTGGTACTGGGGATCAAACTTGGTTCACTGCACTTGCCTAAGCAGGGGCTTCATCCGCTGAGCTATTTGGCTGTCCCAAAGCCCCAAATTATTAATACAGAATTTGGTATAGAGTCTTGAAAGGTGTCCATCAGCTCCATAGCAGAGCCCTAGAAGGCTCTCTGAGTGAGGAGCGCAGGGACGAGGGGGCCAGGGCCGGGGCCTCCAGCAAGGGCCTGTGTAGGAAAGTGTGGCCGAGCCTGTTTCTTGCTGCTCTCTCTGTGGTTTTGGTGATTTTCAATTGGCCCAAGTGACAAACTTCTTGAGGACTGTTTGCTGCAGCGTGAGAGTAGGACTAACCAAACTGGCTCGAGAGGAAGTTGCTGATCTTGAGATCAGAAGAAGCCAGTCCATGCATTAAGATAAACATACACACACATTGAAGTACTGGAATAGAGACATGCATACACCACACACACACACACACACACACCCCACCAATGTATGCATGCGTAATACATATACGTCTACACAGTTCTGTCCTTTTTTTTTTTTTTTTTGGCGGAACCAGGGATTGATCTCAGGTCCTTGTGCTTGCCAGGGAAGTGCTTATTCCACTGAGCCATCTCCCCAGCCCCGAGGTCTCTGTTCTTGACTCTAAGTGGTATTCTCCTTGGGTAGGCCATTCTCCCATGTACCAAGATCAAGGATCTGGCCACAGGCAGAGCTCCCGAAGACCGTTCTGTTCACCCCCTTCTGCCTATGCTCAAGAAAAGAAAATTATCCCATGACTTTTGACATATCTACCCCCTTGATTTTTTTTTTTTTTTTTTTTTTTTTTTTGTGGTACTGGGGATTGAACTCAGTACCTTAGGCTTGCCAGGCAGGCGCTTATGCCCTTGAGCTATCTCCCCAGGCCCCCCCCCCCTTGATTTTTAGGACTGCCTCGACCTGCTGAATTCCTAGTCATGGTCCTGGAGGCCAATGGCTCTCCTGTTGCGGAAGCTGTTACATATCGGTGTATTTGTACAGTGCCTGTGCGGGGGCCAAACAGCCACTGGCGCAGCCCCAACTTATTGACCTTACTTTATGAGCTGGAGATGTGTAAAGTGAGAGGCCATCTCTGGTCACATCCTGGGAAGCCACTCCCATCAGCTGCTGTGTTCTTTCATGCAAACAACTGCCTATATACTTACTCCTCCCTAACTAGGGTGTGAAGAGCTTCACCCCTCCTCAGCACTCACTTGTGAAGATGTCACAGGTTGTGTGTAGCACATACTGGAAGGGGTTGTAGGTGAAAACTGTGAAAAGGACCCTAGCTTTCTGTGACTCCTGTGTCTTGCCCCAAGGGCTTTCTGAGATCCTGATGTGGGATGTAAGACTGCGGAGAGGGAGATACAGTGTCAGAAGGAAGGGGATGGGACAGGCAGAACTGGGCCTTCCTTCCTTCCTTCCCAAATAGTTTTGTAAGATGGGTGTAGGAGCATTGTCACGTGAGGCCTGGTCCAGCTGCTGAGGCTCTGAAGCATCTAGGCCAAGTCAGTAGGTGCAAGATCTCAGTGGCTGGGCTGGAGCACAGCAATCAGAGCTGCCGGGGGCTCCAGACAAAGCTCCTCTGTCTGGGCCTGTAGGTCCTGTCGCATCTCCCGACTCTTTGAGCCCCTTCCACTAGTCTGGGTTTTGACAGCTACTCCGCTTTCTCAAATGCCCATTCCAGCTTCTGGCCTGGCATCGCCTCTTGCTTCTGGCTCACTCTGAACTCCTGCTTTCCTGGGCTTTTGAGACTCTTGCCACATCCAAAGCTCCAGCTTCTGGGCAGCCCGGCCATCAGGCTTGGTTCTCTGTGACTTTCAAGGGTCCAGGGGATTGGGTAGGTTCGGCCAGTCCCAGTGGCTTCACGTCCACAAGTGTCCCCAAGACAGAATGAGCTGCTGAGTTCTGTTTTTAGAGAAGCTTTGTGTCCATGGATAGGGTGGCATTTCTCAAAAGCATTTTCACTATCCCTCTACTTTCTTGCATTGCTAACTATAGCAACAAAATTTCACCCATCCTACCTCCTTCCTCTTTTAGTTATTACTACTGGGAAGTAGCCAAAGGAGGAAGTAGTCGGGGAGAGTAAGCAAGAACCAGAGGCTGGAGATGAAGGAGTGACACTCGCAGTGCGCTCTCGCTGACAGCATCTGACGTGGGGGACTGGCATAGACCGAAAATGCACCTGCTGCTGGTCTTTCCTCTCCTCTGCTGGGTCTCAGGTGAGTAGGTCCTGGTTTGAACTTGTGGGTGAGGCTTAGTCAGCCTGAAGAAGTGATCACAAAACTGCACACATCCGCCAGAAGGCATCCTCTGTGGTACAAACCATCTGTGTTTACTACTCTCCTTACTGTGTTTCAGTGACCAGGCAGAAATATGGAGCCCTTCGGCTCAAACCCACGCTGAGGCTTAATTCCTGCCTACTCGAGGCAACCATATTTCAGGTGGACAGACTGAAAAGTGGAGCGGTTTCTCAAGAGAACCGCAGCCTACCTGGTCCTGGGCTGCACTGTTATCTCTGCGGCCTCCTTATGAGCAGGGAAGGCTTCTGGGAAGAAGAGAGAGAGAGGTTTGATGGGAGAAAGAGAACTTTCCAGAGGTGGGGAGAAGTGACTGGGCATTTCGGGCAAAAGGAAATAAGAGAAATTGCCGAGGACCTGAAATGGCTAAAGAGGAGGCAGGGAGGAAGAAGAGGAAAAGAGGCGCTGTGGTGTGGATTCCATTTAGATTTTTTTTAAAATGATATATTTTTATTTTATTATTTTTTTTAACATTTATTTAGTGTGTGTGTGTGTGTGTGTGTGTGTGTGTGTGTGTGGCCAGCTCAGCCCACCAGGGGGCGCGACTGGCTGGCATGTGGTGCTGGGGGATTGAACTTCGGTCCCTGTGCTTTTCCAAGCTTGTTCCAAATAGGTGCTTTAGACCACTGAGCCATCTCTCCAGCCCTCCATTTAGATTAAAAATAAGATTTATTTTTATATTTTTTAGTACTGGGGATTGAATCCAGGACCTTTGCACTGAGTTACATCCTCAGGACTTTTTTTTTTTTTTTTTTAAAGAAACAATGTCTTTCTAATTTGCCAAGTTGTCCAAGCTGGGTTTGAACTTGCAATCTTCCTGCCTTAGTCTCCCAGAGCTGAAAGGGATTTTCTTGACTTAAATGTTGGCAGGCTCCAGGGCTCAGCCCCTGTCTTTCACTTTGTATAGTCACTCCTTTGGGGATCTGATGTGCTCTTGGGTTGAAACACTCATTGCTGAGAGCATCTGACGTGGGGGACTGGCATAGACAGATAACTACCAGTTAAACCTTCCTAGCCTGGACATCTCCGAGGACTCTAGAATCTGTGAGCTAACCAGCTACTCAACGTTTCTGCTCAGATGCTGAATTTCCAGTGGGATCTGACCAGACCACCCCCCAAATCCCTTTCTTCCCCAGCCTTCTCCTACTTGGCATTTGGGAACGCGTGCTCAGGTCAAAACAATTTAGTAATTTCAGTGTCTTTCTCCATTACCCTCCAGGGGCCTCAAGGTTAAAATCCAAAGTCCCAGTGAGCTGTTCCCTGGCTGGTTTTCCTAGTTATCATCTTCCTGGACTTATCTTCTCTTTTGGGCTCAACCCACTTGGCCGCACTGGCCTCTTAGCTGTTCTTTGAGCAGTCCAGGCAAGCTTCTGCCCCAGGGCTTTGTACTTCTGGTTCCCTCCTGTAGCCCAGGCTCCAGACTTTTCCACTTTTTCATACTTGACTTCTCACTGCTGCCTTCACTGATGACCCTAGTTAAAACCTCAGTTTTCCTCCATTATTTTCCCCATTGTCTGTCTCCACCCCATCTGAGTAGATAGAGTATCACCCTTCAGAGGGCAGACTTTTTTTTGGGGGGGGGTCTGTATTTAGGACAGGGTCTCATTAAGCAGATTGGATTCAAAGTGATTCTCTTGCTTTCAGCCCCCCAAGTGCTGGGATTACAGGCATGCGCTTGGTAGTCTTAATAGCCATCTCAGCGTGCCCGGCGGGTAGGGCCGGCACAGAATGCAGGAGATTGAACCCAGCTGTTGCGCTCTGCCTAAGCAGGCGCTTTAGTCACTGAGCTATCAGGCCAGCCCCGCTTTTTTTTTTCCCATGATTTTATTGAGAAACAAATAGCAATGAGACAGTTTCAAATCAAATTGGTAGGACAGTTTCAATAATTAACACATTGCATACTCTCTTCTCAGTGGTCATTTGCTGTACAAGATGCGGACATGATATCCTATTTACAAACACTATTAGAACAAATCCCTCTATTCATTAAGAGAATGTAACTATATATCTATCCTAACCACTTTGAATACACAGATACAAAATGGGCATTCGTCTGTATCCCCTTTTTTTGTTTAGTTCCGTCATTTGAGTATTATAGGTGTGTTAACTCAGCAAAATATTCTTTTTTTTTTAATTTTATTTATTTATTTATTTGAGAGAGAGAGAGAGAGAGAGAGAGAGAGAGAGAGAGAGAGAGAGAGAGTGGTGTGTATGTGTGGCCAGCTCAGCCCACCAGGGGGCGGGGCTGGCTGGCATGTGGTGCTGGAGGATCGAACCGCGGTCCCTGTGCTTTGCTAAGCTTGTTCTAAGTAGGTGCCCCAGACCACTGAGCCATCTCTCCAGCCCCTCAGCAAAATATTCTAAAAGAGTCCAATAACCTATAATAGTATTGGGTCTTCTGCTTGACTGGCAATGTCAGAAATTGTTGACCTGAGTCCCCTACAGCTCAACATAACACCATGCCTTTACTTCGTATACTTCGTTTTTATACTGTTCTGCTGGATGGTTAAGACCAAGATAAAGCAAGACCTATGCAACAAGAGTTGTAGCTTTTGGGTCTGATAAGGTCAGTAAAATCCCCTCAGGATTTATCCTGAGATCCTGTACCTCAGATTGTAGAACCTTTGTCAGTGTCATCTGTGTGGATGAGTCACGGCCATTGCTTGGCCAATGTGCTCTCTGTGAAAGCCTGAGAGAATGTTTTCTCTCCATGTGACTCTCCTTAGGCACACTCTACATCATTGATCACTTTCCTCTTTGGCCCCATAATCTCCTTGATCAGAAAATTTGGGACACTACCGAGTTACATGACGTTACAGTACAAATTCTCATATGTCCTGAGTCTTAAGTGACCTTGGAAGGCTAGGGCCAAAATGTTGGCTTTCCTTGCGGCCCTCTTTCTTCTCTAATTTTGGTCAGCAAACTTAGATTGTTAACCCTCCAGAAGACAAGCTTATTGTTATAACCATACAACCTAGGCTGTTAAGCTTAAGCTCACTATCTGTCTGAATATCAAACATCTTAGGCATAACATGGAACAGGTATTTTTCATCAAGTATTGATATGTCAAACTTTAAGTCCCTACAGAATATGATGAAAAAAATTTGAAAAATTAAAATATATTTTAAAAATAGGCATAAAGAATTGTATAATTATGCTTACACATAAGTCCAGAAATCTCACCATATATAACCTTATAGCAGGACAGTCCTGCAGCATTCCTTTTCCTGTCTCTTGCCTTCATTCACCACCCCCTTCTTTTTGAACAATCATCTACCCAAGAGACAGCACAGCAGCAGGCCGGCCCTTTTAATTTTTTTTTTTTTTTTTAAAATTTTAATTGGACTCATAGTGATCCGCCTGTGGTCAACCTCCCAAAGAGCTGGGATTCAGGTGCGCGCCACCACGCCCAGTCTCAATTGCAGTCTCGGTGCACCCGGGCTGGCATAGCACACTGGAGATTGAACCCAGCCACTGTGCTCTGCCTAAGCAGGTGCTTTAGTCCACTGAGCTATCAAGCTGTTCCTTATGAGGGCAGACACTTCCGTCTGAATATAATAGAATGGAATCATTATGACTATTAATGTTAATTGCGGGGCCAGGGAGATGGCTCAGTAGAGTAAGAGCTTGCCTGGCAAGCGCATGGGCCTGAGTTCAATCCCCAGTTCTGTAAAAAAAAAAAAAAAAAAAAAAGTTAATTGAAGAAGGCATGGGTTTCTTGTCTATATGCAGTGGCGTAGTCACTTTAGAAAACAAAATAAAAAATGTTCTATAATCAGGTAGTGGGTGATGATTGTACAACTTTGTGAATGCTCTGAAAACCACGGAGTAGTGTATTTTAAAAAATGAAATTTATGATACGTGAATTATTTGCCAGTTTTTGTTTCTGCTTCATTTTTTTGATAATGGAATTGAATCTGCCACTGTTATATATCCTCAGCTCTTAAATTTTTCTTTTTAAAATTTTTTTCCCCTAAATTTTGAGCATTGGCTCAGCTGTTCTCAAATTTGAGATCCTCCATCTCAGCCTCTTGAGTAACAGTAGTAAAATTGTGTCCCATTGCACCTGGCTTTGTATCAGTTATATAAGTGGAAAAAATAAAATGCTTTAATTAATTTTTGAAAGGAAAATAATGATAATAGATTTTAACACAGCTAAGTAGAAAAAGATAAAAAAAAAATAGTAATCCAAGCCAGGTGTGGTGGCGCACACCTGTAATCCTAGCACTCAGGAGGCTGAGGCAGGAAGAGTGTTCTGAGCTTGAGTCTAGCGTGTGCTACAAAGTGAATTAAAGTGGAACCTGAACCGCATCACAAAACCCTGTGGCAAAAAGAGAGAGAGAAAGAGAGAGAGAGAGAGAGAGAGAGAGAGAGAGAGAGAGAGAGAGGTAACCCCAAGGAAAGAAGAGGAAGAAAATTATGCATATGAAAAATTAATAATTTAGAAAATAAAAGTAACATTTATCAGTTGAATATCAAAACTGGTTTAATGTGGGAAAAAAGAGGGAGAGAAACAATTACACATAAAATCTTTTGGTTTCTTTTATGCAAGCAGGCACAAGCGCCAGGAGTTTGATCCCCAGGCCTGCTGTGCCAGCCCTGACCCCAGGGGCTGGCACAGCAATTGAGACTGGGCGTGGTGGCACATGCCTGTAATCCCAGCTCTTGGGAGGCTGTAAACATGCAGATCATTACGAGTCTGATCTAGTAGTAAGATCCTGAAACAACCAAATACATGCATACATATACAAGACCTGATTTAAAAAAAGAATATAATTAATATTTCTTCTGCCAATAATATATACTCTATATAAAACAGATCATTTTCTGGGAAACCCCACACACACAAGAAAAAAAAAAAAGAAAAAAATCCATTGACTCAGATTGACTCAAGAACAAGTAAAAAAGCCTGACCTGAGCAGACTGGTAATGCCAGGAAAAAATGGACCAAAGAATTTGCCCCAGTAAAGACTATTGCCAGATAATTTCCTGGAGAGTATTTTAAGATTCTAAAGAAGCAACAATTCCTTTGCGGTATTTATATTGTGATTCCAGAGCACGAGGTAAGGATTGGTTGGACATGTAGCTCAGTGACAGAGTGCTTGCCTCGCATGTACTTTGTGCTTTACCCCCTTTGTGGCAAAATTAAAGAAAGAAAAAAAAGGAAACATTTCAGATTCATCTCCAGCTACTGTCATATCTCTGGAATCACACTTGACAGAAAAGGATAGAAAAGAATCACACCAATGAACACAGAACTGAATGTCGATGGTGGAACTCAGCTCTCAGATGGGTTTGTGTGACCTGCTCTCAATTGTGTGTGTGTGTGTGTGTGTGTGTGTGTGTGTGTGTGTGTGTATGTTTCTGATGTTTACAAAGAGAGAGATTTTACTCAACATCTAGATTTCTAAGCTGGGCGTGGTGGTGCATGTCTATAATCCCAGTACTTGGGAGCTGAGACAGGAGGATCACTGCCAATTCCAGGCCAGCCATGGCTATACAGGGAGTTCAAGGTCAGTCTGAACTGCAGAGTGAGACACTGTCTTAAAAACAAAAAAATCTAGATTTCTGATGACTCCAAAGAACTGCAGAGATCTGAAAGCACAGAGCCTATCTCTTACCGGAGGTCATGGGCTGGGCCGGGCTGGGCCTGAGATGGATCTTTTTTCCTGCAGATTTTCCTGGTCCTCACCATTTCCCAGTCTCCTAGGTGCTACAGCTTGGCATCACTGGTCATTTTGGTGTGTTGGGGGAATCAATACTGGGGACTGCATGTAGGGCCTTGCATGAGCGACATCCCCAGCCCTTTTGCATTCTTTTGTGTAGAGATATGGTTTTCCTATCAATCTTTCTATCCCCCATACCTTATCCTTTCAGAGTGCCAGAATTACAGGTGTGCGCCACCAAACCTGCCTATGGCCATGTTTTCACAAGTGTGCTTGTAAATGAACATTTTTCTGTATTGTGAATCTTCTCACATGTGAGAAAACAAAAGAGCAAAAAAGACAAAGATATATCGTAAGAAAAAGCCACTTCACTTGCCTTTCAGTGAAATTAGGGTAATCAGGACAGTGGGGGGTTAATCACAAAGAAGGATAAATTAATCAATGGAACAGAAAAGAATCCATGAATAATTCACAAATTTGGTATTTGACAAAGACAGCAAAGGAATTCAGTGGGTTCCACAGCACATAGAGACCAGTTGGCATCACTGTTTTGGTCAACCTGGGATAGTTTCCTACGGGACCCCCAGAGACCATTAGAACCACCAAGGACAGCCTTGGCATGGCCATCCCATGTGGCTGTGTCAGCTGGGCTTGGCTTGAGTACTAAGAGTCAAGGGAACAGCACTGTCCCATGACATGGTTCTTCTGTTATTTCCTCCCCTCCTAGCCAGCAAACCACAGACATGGCCACAAAAGGATGCTCTTTGAAATATTTGGATTTATTGACCATAGTGAGGTGGAGAGGGTGAATGACAGAAAGCTACTACTGCTGCATCTACTTTTATTTCTTTGAAGAGCTGTACTTTTGCCTTTTCATTGGGCCTTTGGCCTGGCAGAATGCTGAAGATCAAAGATCTGTCTTAGAGAAGGTGTAATCTCCCTTTCTTAACCATTATTTGATTTAGGACACCCTTGGATTTAGAAGCTTTTTCTAGCTCAGGATGCCATGGCCCTGTCCTTGGGGTGGGAGGTGACAGATCCATGCATTTGTGTTTTCCAGGTTTCTCTGCTGCAGAGAAAGATATCACTGGTCCCAAGGAAGTGAGTGGTCATGAAGGGGGCTCACTGACTGTGCACTGTCATTATTCCTCAAAGTGGAAGACCAAGCCGAAGTGGTGGTGTCGAGGAGCTAAGTGGCTTAGCTGCAAGGAGCTGATTAAAACCAAAGGATCAGAGAAAGAGGAGAAGAAGAGGCGCTTGTCCATCAGGGACAACCACAAAAATTTCACGTTCAGTGTAACAGTGAATGATCTCACGAGAAATGATGCTGGTAGTTACTGGTGTGGGATTGAAAAACCTGCATCTGACCTTGGGGTCCCAGTTCAAGTGATTATTGGTCCAGGTAAATGTGTGTATGTGTGGTTGTAACTGAGTTTCCACATAAGTAATTTAACTGTCACCAGAGTGACATATTGCAGAGAGGGTTGAGTCCTTAGGCCTCATAGAATCTCAAATAGCCACTTTGGATTGGGAAGGGAAGGACTTCTCTTAAATACCCCATGGATCCCAAGGTCTTCTGCTACTCAAGAGTAAACCTTCCCAGGTATTTTCTCTTTATTACACAGCTCTGTCCTGGGCCTTCTGCCAATAGAGGTCAATATAGTGGCCCTCATTTCAGCCCTTGGGCCAAATACATCCCCTACCATGGCTCCTAGAGAACCCAATCCCTGCTGCTTCTTTATTGAGACCGCAGTGCCTGAGGACACCCAGCCTTTTGGGGAGCTTGGCCTTCACAACTGCTGTTCTTACACTGCATTGTCTGCTGCTGTGGCCTTATTCCTGAGGGCTGCAAAACCTTCACAGTCAAACAGCTGATTTCCTGGTGCCTGAAAGTCCGCTTTGAGCCATCATGCTTTTGGGCTTAATGTCATTCTCTTCCCAGGTCCTTCTAGAATGCAGACATTCCTGGAAGGGTCAGCTTGAGGTTGCAGTGCCTTGGTTTGAAGGAGTTTCTCTATCAGGGTCTATTTCTGCTGCCTCTCAAGCAGGCAGTGCCAGCTCTAGGGCCCATGGAGACACGAAGCCAGTATCACCATCATCAGGGTCCTTGCTACTCCTGGAGACTCTGAGCTTGTTCTCATTGGCACAATGCAGAGCCTGCACCAATTCCTGAAAATACTGTCCCCGTGGGGAGGGAGATGGCTCCATTATTTGAGCTTGCCTGAAGTAAAGGCCTTCCAGAGTGTTACATTTTTGTTTGGGGGAGGATAAATCAATCAATAGAACAGAAAGGTAAACCTATAAATAATTCGCAGATTTGCTCTTTGACAAAGACCCCAAAGCAATTCAATGGAGACATTGGAATCTGTACTCCATGTGTTCCACAGTGCATGGAGGTTGGTTGGCATCACTGTTTTGGTCAACCTTGGGTGGTTTCCTACACAATCCCTAGAGACCACATTAAAGCCATGAAGGACAGCTTCAGCATGGCCATGTCATGTGGCTGTGTCAGCTGGGCCTTCTGAGGGTCATGGATACTAAAAGTCAAGGGAATATCACTGTCCCATGGTTATGGCTTTTTTTTTTTTTTTTTTTTTTTTAGAAGTCTGATTGACCTTAGAAGTCTGACCCAGGATATGTGTTAGTTACACACAATTTCCCATTCTGCTCCTGTCCTTTCTGGGGTAAGGATCTGGGCAGGAGGTACTTGCTGAGGCATGACCATCAGCAATGGGTTTACTTAAAGCCTAGCTGAACTTCAGGTATCCTTAACCCAAGGCTCTTCCAGGCCCTCATCACTCTGAGGGTCTGCTTTCTGTCCTTGAACTTGTGCCCACTTCACCTGCCTCAGGCTCTGGACTCTCCTATAAGCCCTGGAAAATGAATGGTATGGGTTACAGACCCTCTGCATAACCCTCTGCCAGCCACCTCTGGCTGGTGTGGCCCACACTCCTCTGGGCTAAGAGCAAGGCTGGGCTGTGGGTGGGCTGGTGGGAGGAGTAGTGTGTAACCTGATTTGTGTGCCAAGCACCAACTACAGTGCCAACCACAGTCCCCACCACCTCTGTCTCTACGATGAATACATTCACAGTACCAGTCACCACTGAAGAGACCACGAGCTTCCTGACTCCAACCGACTATCCCTTCAGTCACAGGTAAGCCCACTTCCATGCTGCTGTCCTCTATCTCAGTTGGCCTAAACTCCTCCAATAGAGGGCACCTTTGAGGTCCCAAGCCCCAACTAGAGCTTGGAACCAGGCCTTGAGGCTCTACTGTGAGGGCAAGGGTCTTGGAGGCATTTTTACGTCTTTCAGATTCCATAGATACTGCATCTTGGAGCAGAGAGAAGTCTGTAGATATTTTTCATTCATTCATTCATTCATTCATTCATTCATTATTTGTTGATTCATTCATCGATTCATTGACTCATTGATTTATTCATTCATGTTGTGTCCCATTTTTACTGAGTTCTACTTGGCAGGTATGTGTTGAGCTCTGGGGATCTAGATGTAGAGTTTGAGGGCATAGGTGGTCAATGATGTGGAGTTTGGAGTAGGTAGGCAGTGAGGACAGGGTGGCTGGTGTGTTGCAAGACTGGCACAGAATTGTCAGGCTACAGGGTTGGCTCTTGGCTCAACTTCTGTGTGGCCAGTGAGGGTTTGGGTTAAGCCCCATTTCCCTTAATTACTGTGATGACAGGAATACTGTCTCTAGAGCTCATGAAGGGTTTTCTTGTCCATTACTTTCTTTGATTCTGTTTAAGATGACCCCATGAAGAGAAATGGGTACACATGAATGTTCCTTTTGGGGGCAGGTAGTAATAGGGATCAAACTTGGACTTTTGCACTGAGTGACATCACTAGTCCTTTTTAAAAAAAGTTTTGATTTTGAGACAGGGTGTCTACTATCCCCCTCTCTCAACTGGGCTCAAGCTTGCAGGTCTACTTTGACCTCCCAGAATTTTGAGATCACAGGTATGCACCACCACCTCCAGCCAAACATTCCCATTTTATAGAAGAAGAAATTGAGTCTTTGCCATTCTTTGGTGTGTAGTGTGCTCTGCAGCATGGATGGAAGTATTTGAACTCCAGAGCTTGGTTCATGCTCCTTAGTACTCTGCCAAGGCATGTGCAGTTCAAGGACTTCTAGAAGCAGAGAGGCTCCCTTTCATTTCCTCCTTTTACTTTCCTTGACCCCCTTGGCTTTGCTTTTAGATTTGCCACAGGGACCCCTTCTCTTCCTCCTCTCACATTTGCTCCTCTTTTTAAATAAATAGCAGCCAAGAAGTTTCACCACTTTAAAAAATCTAAGCTGTATGCAAGCACCTAGTTAAAGTCTTTGAGTAGCACAGGATGGACAATTCATTCACTTATCAGAGAAATAGTGACAGCACCCACTCACACCTGTTGCTATTTTAAGGAGTCCAGTGGGGTGTAAGGATGAAAATAAGCAATGCCTTTGCCCTCAAGGCACTGACAGTTTCAAGATATTCAGTGTAACCCTCAGAGTTGATATAATTAATGGAGAAATTTATTCTTCGTACATCTACCGATTCAATGATGAATGAAGGTCCTTTCATTCATTCACTAGAGCTTCCAAAATAAGCTACAATAGGCTGGAAGTTAAAACAACAGAAATGTGTGTTGTCCAAAATTCTAGGGGCCAGAAGGGCAAGATCAAGCTGTCAGCAGGTCTGGTGTCTCCCGGGGTCTCCCTCCTTGCCTTGTAGATGGCTGCAGTAGTCAGTACTCAGTTTTCCTGTCGCTGAGATACCTAACACCCAAACTTAAAGGAGAAGAGGCTTAATTGAGCTTATGGTTTCAGAGGGTTCAGTGCAATCAGCTGGATCCCGAGGCTGAATGATCATGGTGAAGTGAAGATGCTTAGCTCTTGGTGGCTGGGAAGCAGAAGGGGGACGGTGCCAGAGAGGAAGGTGTGAGGGACCAGGTACATAGTTCCCAAGATCACACCGCCTGACCCACCCAGACCCACCCAAGGGTGCTTTACTCATCCCCTGGGTATTTCCCAAGCCAACCATGTTGGCCCAATTAAACTTAAACACCAGAACAGCTGTCTTCCCCTTGGGTCCTCACCTGGTCGATCTCTTTTGTATGTCTGTGTCCTCACCAGTCACACTGGGTTAGAGCTTCCCCCCTAGTGACTCCACTGAGCCTTGATAACACCTTTAAAGGCAATGCTTTTGCCCTCAAGGCACTGACAGTTTCAAGATAATCAGTGTAACCCTCAGAGTTGATACAATTAATTAAGAAATTCATGCTTCATACGTCTACCGATTCACTGATGAATGAAAGTTGAATCGGTGAAAAGCTCTCACTTCTAAGATATTGAAGGGAGACTCTGTCCCAAGCCTGTGTTCTAGCTCCTGGGGTGGTTGCTGGGAGTCCTGGGCTCTCAGCCACTCCACTCCATCCCTTTCTCTGCTGTCCCTGGGCTGCTCCCTGTGTGTTCACAGTTCTTTCTTATAAGTGACTTTCTCTCTTTCCAGTGTGACTTTGTCTTTGCTCACTTGCACTTCAAAGACCCTATTTCTAAATCTATATTCAGTCCCCAACTGGACACATTTTTTTTTTTTTTTTTTTTTTTTTTTGGCAGAACCAGGGAAGCGCTTATTCTACTGAGCTATCTCCCCAGCCCCTGGACACATTTTGGGGACTGTATTCAACACAAGTATGCTGGAATGAGAAAGATACATGATGAATGCTTAAGCAGAAGTTATTACAATAAAAGCCACGTTGCCATAGTTTCCCCTCAAAATACCCAAAATGCTTGCCTTTGTTTCAAACACACTTATGTCATCATTCTTACTGTAATATGTTTTAAAAATTTTAACATTCATTATAGGTTTCAATCGCTAGTCCTGTCAGGAGCTACTCCCGTAAGATTTATTTATTTATTTATTTTTTGGCGGAACCAGGGATTGAACTCAGTCCCTGGCGCTTTCTAGGCAAGGGCTTATTCTACTGAGCCATCTCCCCAGCCTCAAGATTTCTGTTAAACTTCTAAATGCGCTGTAGCTACCTTGTGGAACTCACCTGTCCTTATTAAAAATCACTTTTGAGGCTCCAGTGAGTGATAGTTTCTGACTGTGAACCATGGTTTCTTCTCCTGCTACTGTGTAGCTGGGATAGAGCTTGGGGTGGAAAGTAAGCCTGTATATCCAGGGTCTGTCTCTGTCTGTCTGTCTCTGTCTCTGTCTGTCTCTCTGTCTCTGTTTCTGTCTGATGATTAGACCCAGGGCCTTCATCAGGACCTTTTTATGGAGCTACTTCCCCTCCCCTCGTCTTTCTAATTTTTTAGGTTGATAAAGGGTCTTTTAAACTTGCCCAGGTTGCATTTGAACGGCAACCGTCCTGCCTCTGCTTGCCATAGAGGCGAGAATACAGGCTTGCACCTTCATGCCCAGCTCCGGGGTCTCCCTCTTGTTCGCAGGGTCAGCATCACAGACCTCAGCATCCTCCTCCCGCTCGTGTTTGTGGTGCTGCTGTTTCTCTTGGTGGCTGCCTCACTCCTGGCTTGGAGGATGATGAAGCAACAGAAGAAGGGTGAGAGGACCTGGCCTGTGGGGTTGGTGCTGGCTGGGTGCGGGTGTGTGGGGCTGACAGCTGGCATTATCCTCAGGAGCTGGGTGGCCCAAGGCATTACCTGGAGACTGGAAGGGTCACTGCCCCAAAGGCCACCGACACCTGGCGGTCTGAGGGCATAGGGCGGGTCTAGAGCTTGCCCCATGAGGTCCAAGTTGTGGTGTCAGCTGCTGGTCTTGCACATCCTTCCTGCCTTCTCTCTGAGGCACTTTCTTTTGTTTCCTGGTTTGGCTCTGGGGCACAGGTGGCAATGGCAGCCCATTTGAGATCTGTGTGGCTGTCAAGGAGGTGCTGAGCTGAGCTGAGGAAAGGGAGAACAAGCCACACGCCGAGAACACAGCAAGCCCCGCAGTCCATGCACAGTTGTGAACTTAAGGCACACACACATGCATGTCACACATGTCTGTGCACACATGACGCAGGCCCCAGGGTCTGACTGGAAGATCAGTGTGACCTTTGCTTCTGCTTCTCTGCTGCCCGCCAGCCTCGCCCAAGCTGACCTCCTTGCTCTGCGTGCCCTTGTGTTTCAGGGAAGAGCTCTTCCTTTGCTCAGGGATCACGAGGTATGGCCGCCTTCAAACTTCTTTTTTTTTTTTTTTTCCTGTCTGGCTTTACTTCCACTTTCTCACAGAGCCGCACCCCCTTTCCTTCTGAGAACGACCCAGGCTTTGAACAGTCCTTTCCGCTGCTAGGCTTAGGAGTCTCCAGCCTGGCAGGAGGGCAGCCTGACGCACATTCATCAGTTTCCAGCCCCCACGTGCGCTCTCTGTGACCTTCGTAAACAGCGCTTTCTGTGCACCCTGGTGTCCGACTGGGGGTGGGGCTTATTTCTTTTCTTTCTTTGGAGCAGGGGCTATGTTGCTTGTGGGGAGGTCAAGGGCAGAAAGAACTGCAGGCAGGAGTCAGCAAGGCCCTGAAAACCAGTCTACACTGTGCAGAAGCAGTTTGCAGGTTTCATTTGGGGACAGTGTGGAGCAGAGCTGGCTCTGATTGAACCCCTCACCCACAGGCCTGCACATGCACATGGACAAATGGCAGGATGGGGCCTAGCTACTGTCCTGTCTGAAGATGGTGACAATTCAGTGAGATGAAGGGGACAGGAGAGACAAAATCAAGTGCCATGCAGGCGGGCAGTAGACAGCAGGTGCAGCTCTGAGGTGACCCCTGAAGGATGGATCAGGCAGAGTGAAGTAGAACAGGCAGAACTTGGGCAGCATTTACAGGTCCTGCTCAGGATTTTGCAGGAAGAAACTTAACTCCGGGAGCCAAAGGCTGGCAGGGCCACCTGACCACTTGACAGCAGCTCTCCATTGGATCACGTTCTTTTCAGGGGGAACAATGGAAGCTCAGAGAGGTGAGATGGCCAATGCCATGGAGTGTGTCGTCCAAGCAACTAGAACTAGAACCAGGTCCTTGTCACTGAGCCTGGAGCCTTGGTCCTCCTTTTGGTCCCCATATTTCTCTTTCCTGAGTGTGGGGACTTCCGTGAGGCTCAGGGTTGAGATTTCTAATTCTGGGTTACTTTTGTCTTTTAGTGGCTGCGCTGTCCTCCGAGCAGGTAAGAGTCCCAAAGGTTGGGCCAGAGACACCAGTCAGCTCCTTCTCCTCTTCCTTATTTTCTACCTCCCAGGAACCTGTATGAGCTATGTGCCAAAGTAGCCTTGTACTCATGGCCCCTGCAGGCCTGGATGGTGAGGGGCCTAGAGGCAGCCAGAGGGGTGGAGGCTTAGGGAATATGGGGGGCTGAGAAGTGGGAGGCACACAGGGAGCTGGAGGGGGTCCCAAGGAAGCAGCAGGCTTGTCTTTTCTTAGAAGAGGACCCTGTGGCCACAGACTGATCAGCCTGTGTTCCCACCTGCAGCCCGTTGAAGGTGACCTCTGCTACGCAAACCTGTCACTGCATCAGTCTGCAGCCTGTCCGGACTCCACCTGGCAAAAGGCCTCCAGCAAGGCCCCAGCCAACCAGGGAGAAGTGGAATACGTCACCATGGTTTGTCCTTTGTGGGAGCTGCTGTGGGGCCCCCACAGCAGGGCTTTCCTGGTGGGTGGGCTTTCTGTTCCCGTGTGGGTACCGCAGAGGAGGGTGGGCTCTGAGCAGAGCCTCAGTAACTGCAGCCCTTGCCTGAGGAGCCCCCAGGCTTTCAGAAGGGTCTGCACCCCAGGTCTCAATGTTATTCAGGGGTGCGTCTGATGTGGTTCTTGAGCCAGGCAGGCACAAGCCAGACTGGATGAACAGTGCCAGATATTACAGGAAGCAGCTGCCTTGGAGTAGGGGTGGGCTCTGTGTGCTGTGGCTGAAGCTGCCTGGGGTTCCTGGAGGAGCAGAGGGAATCTGGCGTATTTGGGAGTGGACCTCAGAACCAGCTGTCTCCTCTGAGGTTTTATTTTCTTCATCCTGACCCATGGCCTCAGGCCCCTGCCTGCCTCCCTGACCTCATAACCATTTGTGTTGCAGGCTCCTTTTCCGAGACAGGACGTTTCCTATGCATCCCTGTGTTTGGATGTCTTGGATCAGGAGCCAACCTACAGCAACACCGGCCACACTCCCAGCAGGGCCTACAAGGAGTCCACAGAATACAGCAGCATCAGGCGGCCTTAGCCTGGGCCTGGCCTTTCTCTTGGACCTTGCAGGGGGCTGAGGAGCATGTTGCCCCCTGTCTGCTTTCTGCCCCTGCCCGCCACCAGGACCAGCTTATGACTGAAGCTCTGCCTGTTCTGCCAGCGTGGCCCCCAACTGTTTCTTGGGGCTTTGGTGACCAGTCTCTGGGAACTTCAAGGAATTAGGGTTCTTTCCACATCCCCCACCCCCCACCTAGCTTGGGCAGGGTCTGAAGATACAGTCTGTGGCTGCATGTGAATAATAAGGACAAAGGTGGCAATAATAGTAATTACCCTTTATTTATTGCTTGTCTGCATCCTGATCCCCAGCATGCGCAAATGTAGCCCACATAGCGAAAGACAAGGAACATACGCAACTAAGTTGAAGATTTGGAGATGTGGAGATCCTTCTGGATTATTCCAGGGGGAACCTGATGTATAATCATAAGACTCCTTCTAAGAAGGAGGCAAGGAAATCAGAAGGGGAGGGGACAGTGTGACGCCAGAAGTGGAGGCTCGAGCGATGCGGTGAGGAGTAAAGGAATGCTGCCACCTCCAGGGACTGGGAGAGGCAAGGGACATACTGTTCCCCGGAGCCTCCAAGAAGAGCCACCCCTGCCAGCACCTTGGCTTGAGTTTAGTGGAACTGAATTTGATGTTCTAGCCTCCTGAAGTAGAGGGGAATAAATTTGTATTGTTTTGTTTAATTTTTAATTTTTTTTTTCACGTTTTGCAGTACGAGGAATTGAACTCAGGACCTTGCACTTGCCAGGCAGGCACTTATGCTGCTGAGCTATATCCCCAATCCCTGTGTTGCTCTAAATTAAGTCACTAAATTTGTGGTAACTTATTACAGCAGCAACAAGAAATGATAAGGCAGGTGCTCGTCTATAAAAGCTTCATAGGACAAGCAATCTCATTTCACGAGGGTGCTTCTATATTGGCCCATTTTACAGATGGGGACTTGAGGTCTGGACAGCAAAGTGCACCAAGCTTCATGGCCAGAAGATAAGTAGAACCCAGGTGTCTGGCTCCAGAGTCTGGGGTCTGGCCACTACCCTCTCCTATCAGCAAGATAATGTGCATTTGCTCACATAGATACTCATGCAGGGACAGTGAAAATTTAGATGCTGGACTTTTCTAGGGTCCTTGCAGTCTTTTCTCCAGCATATATCTTGAATCCCAGGGCATCTTCGTCTCCATGGTTACCAGCCTCGTCAGAGCAACCATCCCCTCCTGACTGTCCTCCCCCTTTCACCCTCTGCCTCTGAATCCATCTTCATCCAGCAGCCAGCGTGATATTTCAAAGCACAGAGCCGATCGCTTCCTGCAGATGAGCTTCTAGTGGTTTCTTCCTCAGCCTTCAGGGACTCGGGGAATCCAGGGCCTGCCCCCTGCCCTTCGGGGTCACCTCCATCCACTCTCCTTCCATCTCATGCTGGTCCAGCCACACCAGCCTTTCCTCTGTCCTTGTAACAAGATATTATGGTTTGAATCGGAAATGTCTCCCTAAGGCCATGTGCTCACAGCTCATTCCCCAGCCTGTGGTGCTGGTGGGAGGCAGGAAGTGGAGCCTTGTGACAGGAAGTGATGTCACTGAGATTGTCATGTCAAAACAATGTTGGGACCTTGGCCCCTCTCTCTCTTTTTCCTTCTGCTTTCTTTTTAAAAAAATATTTATTTATTCGTGTGTGTGTGTGTGTGTGTGTGTGTG